TGGTTCTTTGAAGTGAAATGACGGGGGGGGGGTGATATTGAAAAAAAAACAAATCAGTAAAACGACGAGAGTTTCCGAGGCGAGACGATCGAACGCCGGTGAGTTCATTCCCCTAGAAAGCCGCTCAACCCACGTGCTCCGGCTTAGGTGGCTCCATTTCCGGTAGCGCTTCCCCCTTTCAGCCCCCTCGCTCAATTCATCCTTCCAGGAGAGGCTTGCACTCCCCGGGCGGGGGAGAAATTAGCTCCTCTTTCGTTGCCGTGAGTAGTGTTATTAATAGTATTATTTTATTACTATTATTACTATTATTTTTATTACCTATTAACGCTTTATTAGTAATCGGTGGTGGCTGGAAGCCGTTCCTGAGATTCTTGGTGCACCCACGCACGCACGCACACACGCACACACGAAAAAGAGGGCTTGAGTTGACCTTAATCTGAAGAGAGGACTAAAGCTGAGGTCCGAGTTTGGCTGTTGCTTGCTCACCGTTGGGGACCATTTGGCAAATCATCAGAACGCAAAAGAAACGAGAGGAGACGAGAGAAAGAGAAAGAGAGAGAAAGAGAGAGAGCGAGCGAGAGACCGAGCTGGTCGCGATGGCTTCCGTTTCTCTCTCTTTTCCCCCCAGCCCTTCCCCAAGATGGATGTTGGGATCATCAGCATCACGGAGACTTCACAACAGGCGTTTCCCCCCTTCTTTGGGGGGAAGGCTCCCCCCCTCCACTCCAAGCCAAGGGACAGAGACATTTCCTCTGTAAATCCAGTTCCTGGAGAAAGAGAGAAACGGCGGCGGAGGGAAAGGTGGGCTGGAGGAGCTGGGGAATTCTGTGTCGTGTGGACGGCGTGCTGTTGACGTGATGGGCCTTCTACATGGAGATGCAAGTCGCCAGCGCAGCGGAAAGAGCCACCAGCAGCACCGGGGAGGCAGAGGCTACGACGGACGAGGCTGCTCCGTTGGTTTTGCCGCAGAGGACAAACAGGTTGCCTTCGTAGTCGAGCTTTTTGGATTTCTCTTTCAGTTTTTCCCAGACATCTGTCAGCCCTTCCTGACAATCCGTAAGAGCTGTGAGGGTGCAGGAGTGGAAGTCATCCCAGTACCTGAATAAGGAGGAAAAGATACAGGACAGGTGTTGATGGGGAATGCTGGCAATCCTCCTTCCAGCCCCAGCAGGAAAAGGAAATTTTGCCGGGCAGGAGGGGGCAACCAAAGAGGGCAGGACAGGTGTTTCTGGCTCTGGCTTCCAGACAGTCAGAGAGGCCTTTGCCCAGAATGTTCAATTTGATTTCCTCACCCTCAGTACAAGGTCCATTCCCCACCCCCCACTCCAGGAGTTAGCCAATACTCCTGACTGAGGACTCATCAGACTGTTTTCCTGAAATCTTGCCAGCACTGGGTCTTACTCTTTCCTAACCTGGAGTCTCTAGGTCTGTGGAAGATATCTCTTGTCATCCCTCTCCATCAGCCCCACTGCTTGGGGTTGCAATCAGTACATCTTCAGGGCATCAGCTTGGACCATAGTGTCCCCTCCCCCATACTGAATAATTACTGAGATACGTCAAATAATTTTCAGATTGCAAAGGTTTTTTTTTTTAAATTCTCCCTATACTGGCATACATGAAGAATATTCCTTCCAAGATATCTGCTAGGGACACATCTATGCATAATTGAAAAACATGATCTTTCTTACTTCAGAAAAATTATAAGCCAATCTAACTGAGACTAAAATTGATGAATAGTCAAATTTATTTATTTTGTTGGAAAAATATATACTGTATTTCCTCTAGGAGCTCAAGGCAATGTACGTAGTAGTCTCTCCTATGATTTTTCAAACAAGAACAACCTTGTGACATAGGTGGGGTTGAGTAAGAGTGACCCACCAAAAAGCACCCAAGGAGCTTCTAGGAGCTGAGGGTGGACTTGAACTTGGATTTCCCAGTCCTAATCCATCATCTGTACCCCAACCCCAGACTATTGGCATGTAGGTAATTGGATGGCAGCCCTATAGGAATGCACAGAAGTGTATCTTACTGGCTGAATTCACTTATTGTACTAAACCATGGTTTATTATAAGCATTGTTAAAAAAATAAACTATAATGGTTGAATTCACACAACTTGCTAAGCCAAATAATGTGCTAAGCCAACATGTTGGCTTACATGATATGTAAACTCAGACACTGAGTCAAGCATTGGATCATCCATTCCAGTAGGCTTTAAATTGTAGTCACACATAATGTAAATGATGATCTATTTTATTTAATACATTATAGTGACTAGATTAGTTCACCACACTAAGCCAAAAGCAAACCATGTTATGGCTTGCCATGATAGGTACACCCAGTCCTTTTCTGACTGATGTGGACTGGATATGATGAGTGTGATAATTTGGTACATCTTAAAAGCAGAGGGTTGGGGAAGGCTACCTCAGATGCCACCAGTTCGTTTTCAAAAACCTCTAACTTTCTAGCTTAGATCAAGAGTCATCTAGCCACCACCACCCCATTTCCAAAGAGATCTTTTTATCTGGCATTCACTTAAAGGTATTGGCTGAGAAAATGACTTTCTGGTATAAGACGCTGCTGAATGGGGGATGCCTTGGAGAACCATCCAACAGCTGTTAAGGCAACAACAGGGCAGACGTCCCATGTACCATCTTGCCTCTTTTGAACCTCCTGGGAGGCAATGCAGTCATACTATGATAGAAAATAACTTGGCACATGTCCCAACATGTTTTTTTTTCCTCACTGCAAAATTAAAATAAAATGGAAAGTGCTTAGAAATGTGCAGCTTAATAATATTCTTCCCCTGAGCTGTAATGCAAAATGTGAGTGGAGTGGGGAAGAGTTGTGATAACTCAGCTGCAAGAGAAAGCTGCATGTGTTCAAAGAGACCTTTTATATACTGTCTTTGATATTTTGAGTTAACAGAACTAGTGACAGGGACCCTCATGAACCTGACACAAAGGATGTCTTAATTACACCTCTAGTGCCAGGTAATAGTTAGGGTGCTGGAAAACTCAGTGATCAGGTTCAAATCCCCATTCAAACATGAAACTCACTTCCTTATTATAGACACTAACTTTCAGATTAAATTGCTTCAAAATATTTTATCTGATCAATTTCCATGATATATGAAACCACAAATGAGTGAGCCACGTTTTATGGTGGGTGTTGTACAAACCCCACCTGTGTCTATGCAGTAATTTAGGGATCAGTGTGTTGGGCAAACCAAGAAAATATTGCTTACTCATTAAACCATGGTTAAGAAAATCATGGGAAAATATCTGCAAATTCAGCCATTGTGAAGCAAGAGTAGGATTTAGGAACCATTTAACTTTTCTTAGAGGAAAGAGGGTAAATAACTGGAGATATAAATAATTTATTGTTTCCTTATTGCTTTACAGATTTTGATGCTACCACTTAATCCTGAAAACAAGTGCTTAGAACAGAACTCTGGCTCAAAAACTTAATTAGCTTTTCACATATTTTAGACTTTGATGGTTTAATTTATAATCTGATGTTCCTACATAATGTAGGATCATGACTTTCATATATTTATTTTCCTAATACTGTTTTATTGTATCTTCTACTGGTTTTACCCTTTTTGTTTAATAGCTTTTTAATTTGCCCAGAAAATTACATTATCAAGTAGATTAGAAATAAAATTATAAATAAATGCAGCCAGTTCCAAGGAGAATCTGTGAACTTTAAAGTATATGTTTAAAGAGGAAGGACAGTTAATTGGACCTTGGTATATAATTAAAACTTGAGGGTGGAAATTTGCTTAATTAAAGGGTGGCATCTTGAACAAGAAAATAAACCTATCTGTAGTACATTAATGAAGTAGATTGCACCAAATGCACCAGATTCCTAAAACAATTCCTTGTAAAAGAACTGGGAAAAGTGAAAGGAGTGCAGCAGGTGGAAGAAAAGTATACAAATAAAACAGTCCCCAAGGATAGGTTCCCCTCCCTTCAAACAAACAGCTCTCAAACATTTTCAGGGGGAAATGATACAAATATGCAATCCTTTAAAGCAAACACATAAATAAATAACAAGGAGTTTCTTCTAAAGTGAAAAACAGTGCCATCCTGAAGTGTTTCATACAAACAAAATTATAAGGGCATATTCAAACAAAGTTAAGTGAGGTGGAATGGCACTGAATCAAGTAAAGCTACTTGGATGATACTTCCACAATAAGATTCAACCCTGTTGAAAGTAATTACAGGCAATCCTAAACTTTCGGTTCAGTTGTCTGGCTGCTACTGGTTGCATGGCTCCACGGAAAATGATCGGTCCATTTTATGAAAACAATCAGGAGTAGAGACAGTACTTGGAAGGATTCTGGTGTTTAATATATAATATCACTATATATATATAGATCTGGCAAGATCTGTATTGTAAAGTTCACTTAGACATATTTTATGAGAATTTAAGCAGGGCTAGACAAATCCATGTATCTTGGCCACCAAGGCCAATGATGAGACATGATTGGCATTATCATCTAATTGTTCCTCCAGCTGTTTCGATGCATCTACTGTATAGCGGTGCTACCTATTCTGTCTCTCCTAGCCCATCCTGGTTATTTCTTCACTCAGCTGTGGTAGTTTCTTTCCTGTTGATGGAACATGCCATCTGAACAGTGAGCCTAAGTACACTTACTTGGAAGCCAGTGTTAAGCCAGAGAGATTTACTTCCAAGCCTGGGACTTTAGGATCAAGAAGCTGCCAAATGAAACAGCTGCAGGGACTGGGAGTTGCACTCTTCTGTCTGTAATTTGGTGTGGAGCATCTTTGGCTGATTATAGTTGGCCTGCTGCAGAAAACAATCACTTTAGGGCCTTCATTTTAGTTCCCTTGATGATGCATGGTTATGAAGATTTAACCAGGCTGTTGCCTTTCTTTTAGGACTATTACATTTTACGTTTCATTGGATGCTGGTGTGAAAGATGTCATCTGTTTTAACTGATCAATGTCTCTTGTGCACAAAAGCAACATGTAGACTTTGCAAGGCATGTGAATGGCAGGGCATCTTAGGTGTGAATCAGTTCATGAGTTTGAGTTTACTTTGAATTCACCATGAGTTAGTCTTGGAACATGCTTTCAGTTCTAAAAGTGGTTTAGATAGGTCTGAGCTTCACTTATTTTGGTGTTCTGAGCACCTCCCCATTTTGTACAGAGAATCCAAATGAATTGGCAACTAAAACTTCAACAGTGGAAAAACGTGGCAGTTCTCACTATTTTGCCTTGTATGACTTTCCCTTCCCTCATTTCCCATACCCATGACCTAAAGTGAACACCTCACTCTATCTAATGAGAGGACCAGCCCTGTATAATGCTAACAATACTGCAGTTGTGTCCTTGGGCATGTGCAGAGTGCTTTCCTGATCTTTAAATGTTTGAGGTGGCCCGAGGTCTTGATTGCTCACTGGTGCATCATTATGAATAATGGAAGCTCTTTCTATTGACTGCTATTTAATTTTGTAAGTCCCAGAATAACCATCACTCAGTTCCAGAGTGGTAACCAATTTCAAGAATTCAGTAATAACAGTGACAGCAACACAATATTAATAGTAAAGAATGCATACTTTGTCATTATTTCTGTAATGGCTGTTTTGTTTTGTCTCCTTTCCAAATAATAATAGTTAAATCACAGACTCAAGTTATGATAACAATATTAATATATATATTAATAGTATATTAACATTAATATATATTAATATATATATAATTAATAAATAGGAATGATTTTTTTAGATTTTTTATCCCACCTTTATTATTTTTATAAATAACTCAAGGCAGCGAACATACCTAATCCTCCTCCCTCCTCCTGTGTTCCCCACAACAACA